GAATCGGCACGCAGGCACACATGATTAATCCGATGAGCAGCATCATTAATCCGATGAACAGCATTGATTGCCCTCAACCGAGGGGATTAACTGGCCATCGCAGTCTAACGTCATATCCCTAGTCTGAATCCCTCATGATCTACAAAATCGTTGTTGCAGCACCGGGAAGGAGGGGCATTCAGAATAGGTGTTAGAAATCAAAATATAGCAAAACCTTGGACAAAGTCCGATTCCACCATAGCACTCTATTATGTAAGGTTACCTGCACCATATCCCCCCTGGCGCACCCCCTATCCCACTATCATACCTCAGTGTGACCAGCACTGAGGACCATTACCCTACCAATGGGCAGGTAACTTGGACCGAACAGCAGTGATAGGCACCAGGGCTGATAGGTTGCCCAGCCCTGCTGGAAGCGGAATCGGACGAGCCTTGTCGAACGGGAACTTCGGACGCCAGACCCAGAAAATCTACTACAGGCCCCAAGAGACTCTGGGCCCTAGGTTTCAGACAGGGTAGCACCCATTGAATCAATCTTACCGTCCTTCCCCTAGCTTACCCAAGGCCAGGCGGAACTCGGACTGGCCTGAGCGACTTATACCCCTACCCTTACCCTAGGGTCTAAGCCTTATATGCCACTAGACTGTTCTATCTGAATATCAGTAGGAACTCCGGTGGCTCATACCTGTCCCTACTGCAGATACTAGACCCCACCCACTGACTAGACCCCCCCAGTCTGATAGTTGTGTAATTCGCAATGTATGTGTATACCCGAAGGCTGTGTATGCTCCGTGCATCTATGTATCAAGATGTACAGACAGCACTATGTGTGAAAACTTGTGTATGTAGCCCGTAGGCCATGTATAATTCGCAAGCTATGTATATGCCTGAAGGCTGTATAGGCAGCATCATGTGTGTACATCGAAGAGAGAACAGGGTAAGATGGACAGGGACCCCCCCAAGGTCCGAACCAAGCTTGAACCCGTGACCTTGTAGCATGTAATCGTATGATTCTACCATGTGAACGACTAGTGGAAATGGCACGAACGTGTGATATGCCAGACAGGGGTGATCCACAAAACACCCAAGACCAACACCCCCAAGCGACCCATGTGAAAGCCAGAACCAACGTACAACACCATGAGCAACCCTTGGGTGGTGCGCAGGCAGTGTCTGTAATAGTACCATGCGTCATCCCAAGGGAGTGTATGTCCAGTCGTGCGTCAATCTAACACCCTGCCGGTGTCCATGAGCAAGGTTGCAATTGAGTTTTGAACCCACAACCTCATACCACAATGGGCATTTCCAACCGTTGCTCTAACCACTGAGCCACATCAACTGGACCATCATTGCTGAGCTTAGTCTCCCAGTACAGTTGTTTTCATACTTTTTCTGTGGTGTGAGCCATGCTGAGCATTCAACATGAAATAGGAAAGGAGTCAAAGAATTATTATCTTCCTAAAAGGCTAAAACCTAGTAGGGGAAACGGAGCGGGAGTCACAAAAATGAGTTATAATTGCACTATGGGCCAATATAGAGTTTCGAAATTCGAATTGCAGTTCGGGTAATGTATACGACTCAACTTTCTGGCCAGGTAGGGTGGCCGAAGTGCAATTACAAACTGTATCTTGCCCCATATTACTTGTTTTTGTAAATCTACTGAGGTTACTCCCCTACGACGTACCTTTTTTTTTTTTTTTTTTTTTTTTTAACATCATTGATAATAGGGGGTGGAGGGGATGCTGATGAGAGCAGACACCCCCTCTACCCTCCTACTTGGTAGATGGCTCCGTTCCATTGGTGGGGAGCTGCACCTGCTGGAAAACGGGTCCATCGTCCCTTACATTAATCAAAGAATAGATGAATAGGATTGGTTTTTGAACAGTGGATCTGACTACCCATTCTGAAGCAGGAGTGGACCCTCTTCCCTTACAACTGCGGGTTGAGCTGACTATCTAAGCTAAATCAGAAAAGCGGGTCCAGCTTCCTTTTTGAATCAGGAATGCTAGGACTTGTGCCTCTTCACCCTGTCTGGGCGCCTGATATGAGGTTAAAATTAACACGCCTAACATTCCAAAATCATAGAAAAAGGATCTGGCTTACCCTCATGAAAACTCCTCCTTCTTCCTGTATAAACCAAAACTCACTAATTCTAGGCTTGCCGAGACCTGGTTTACCCTCGTAGAACCTCCTCTCTCTTCCTGTGTGAACCAATCTTCCCTGCTCTCTTCCTGCCATACTTAATTAATATCTGCGGAGAAAGGGACCGCCCGCAGAGGAGTGAAGATGGTTTCTGTGGTTGCAGAGGCTCCAAAATCCATGACAAGAGACAGAGAATACTTTTGGATCAGGAAAAACCGCAAGTATGAACTCAGGCTGAAGGAGTTATTGCTCCCTCCCATACCAAGATAGTGGAACCAATGCATCTTGAGGAATTGGGAAGAAGCTTGAAAACTCGTTGGCGGGGCGTAGGGGGATTGAAGACTCCACCTAAGTCCAGTCATTAAAAAACAACTTGAAATTCCTGTTCCTGATTTGCTCATCTTTCTTACCATCATCCTCCCATTCCACCCTCCCTATTTCCCCCCCCTTTTCCCCCCTTCTCCCCCCGCAGCCAGTTACTACTGAAATGTTTGAGAGAATTTGAGATTTTCGTCTTGTTTGAAGTAGATTGGATTGCTTCTTTGAAGGATATCCATTTATCCTTTATATGGGTTTGAATTTGATGCTTGATTGTGTCAGTGAATTCTGGACCGTCTAGTCTCACATTCTCCCATTCATATGTGTTCCTTCTCTGCCATATCGCCCAGAGCACCGCTCTCCTTCCCAGAGAAAAAAGGTTTTGGGTGAACGTGTCCTCTGGTTCAGGGGACCAATGTTCCAGTAGTATTGCTTTCCAGCACCACGACCAAGCGTGACTTATCTCTAGTTGACCCCAGATGCGATCCCACCACCGCCATAGCCAAATGGAACGAGGGCATTCTAAAAAGATATGTTCAATTGATTCCGGTATCTTTCTACTTGGAAATGCAGATATACATAGCTTGCACCAAGGGACTGTTTGTCCGCTTTTTTCCAGAGAAGTCCTATCTGCCAGCCAATCATTTATGGGGAGACACCAATGTACTATCTGCCATTGGAGCGAGGCTACTTTTGATGGTTTTATTTTGGAATCCTTAAACCATCTGATATTTGTGAGGTCGCCTTTGTTAATTCTTAGATGCTTCATCCATCTTTCCGTCACCCTATCCTTCAAGTTGAACCTCGGTCTGAGCATACAATATGTCGATTTGACCGATAGGGTGTGAAAGTCTCTACGGAAGTTCCTGTTGGGTTTAATTGTTGAACCCCATGACCAGTATACCGGATCAAAAGGCAATTCAGAGATGGGTGTATTTAGTCCGAAGGCGAGATAAGTCTGTAATTCAAGACTCAGGACTCTGATTCGAAAAATGATCTCCACTGATATCCAGAATGGGTCTTGGTTTTTGCTGAGGGTTAATGTGTTATCTTCTTTTAATTCTCCAGGGGCAATTAGAGCTTCTTTTTCTTGGGATATTAAAATGATATTGCCTACCCTCTGCGGATCATCTCCCGTGGCCACCCAGTCACTTTCCTGGAATTTTCTCCCTTTCCTAAGTATTCTAAACCATTCAATGGGAATGAGTTTCACGATTGCGTCCAAATTTTTTTTGAGTGTTGTGGCAATATTTAAGCCTCTTTTGAAGGTTAAGGGAGGCGATCCAATCCCTGTTGTCATTGTCCCAAATATCTCTGATCCTAGTCACCCCTCTTCTAATCCAGTTTTTCCAGGGGGCATCATTGCAGTGCAATGTGATCCCCTGATGGTTCCTGATCCATGTGTTGTTGAAAAAGGGTTGTTGATCGATCTCCTCCCACCTATAAGGGAAGTGTTTATCCGGTATTGGTAATTTCCTCCAAGTCTTAAGAATAGTAGGCCAGAATGAGTCCTTGCTGATGTCTTTCCTGGTTGCCTCCCTACTAGTTATCTGATTTGGATTTAATTCTTTAGATATTCCTCTGGGAATTGGCCATTCTCTGTTTTCTAGCCCTCTACGACGTACCCCAAGCCCCGATTGTTCTGAGTATTGAGGCTGGCGGTCCCAACAGGTCCTCATGGGATAGCCATTGGATGTTGCCTTGCTTGAGTGCCAGGGAGATGCTATCTGGAAATTGATGAGTTTTTGGCATACCCACTTTGGTTATGTCTTTGATTTTGTGGTTCATGCCGAGCTGTCGGAGAGGGGGGAACCCGCACTTCTACGCCCACCTGAGTACTGGAAAGACCAACACCATTTACAGAGACTGCACTGTACATGGACACCCGATTCAGCCACATATGGGCCTTTTTTTTTTTTTTTTTTTTTTTTTCTTGAGAAGACCTCCCCCTGCTAGCATTGATTACCCTGGAATCCAATGGATTAACTGAGCAGGGAATACCCTTTGATAGTAATGAAAATGAAAAAAACTATGCAAAAGCCAAGGAATTAACTCCGGGCTAACCAAGATAGATCAAATTTGGAAGAACAAGCAACCCCTGAGACAGACAACCAGAACAGTCCTGCCTCCGTCATCGAAAGGAAGAGCCTCAAGCCAAAGCCAACAACCGGGAACCGGGCTAGCGCTAGCGCCCTAACGCCGGCCGACCGGCGAGGCCCGGTCGCACCCGGCTTGACCAGCGCGCTGGAGAGGTGTGTCCCTCCAGGTCGCTGGGCCTGTTCAAGCGCTCGACACGTGGCCGTGGTGTTCAACTTGCCACGTGTCACCTGTCGATTGGTGACGTGGACGCCCCACGACGCGTGAGCAGGGGAAGCGCCAGCCGTGTTTGATTGGAGGATTCCTGCAAAAAGGGGGCGCGGTTCTTTGGGCGAGCCATGACTACCATGGAGGAGAATTTGGTGAGGGAGCTACATATTGAAGCAAAGGAATGACTGATTACCTTGGAGAACGGACGCAGATGGCTACAGGAGATTGTGAGGGACATGTCTTTGTGGCTGCAAATGGAGCCAGAGGTCGAAAGGGGAGCGATCACTCTGGCTGGTTGGATGAAGGATAAAAGTGAGGACATGCTGGTGATCATTTGGGAGCTGGAGGAGGGGCCGGATCCTCGGCTTGACGTCTGCATCGATTGGAGGAGGGCAGATGGCATCATGTCAGTCTGCAAATCCCTCTTCAATGAGGGTTGCGATCTGTATGATCTTCTGGAGGAACGGTTGGCGGACATCATTGATCGTGAGGATGAGCACAAGGTAACAGCGGAAACATCAAGATTAACAATAACAGCAATGGATGGGGGCGACAACAACAACAACAACAATGATAGCAGTGGCGTGTATACTAACAACAACAACAGCGGCGAAAACATCATCAACAACAAAAACAACAACAACAACAACAACAACACCGATAATATCAGCAGCAACGACGACGACGACGGTAGTGCCAACTATGGAAGCAGCGAGGCTGGCAGCTCTGTCCGGGCAGTTGCGATCATCAGCGACATGATGGGGGAGGTGATGCAAGCGGATGAAGGGGAGATTGGGGTTGGAACGGAAAAGTGGTTTATCATCTCCCCCCCCCTCAACGATACGGACGACGACGACAACATCGTCAACAACAACAACAACAACGACAACAACAACAACAACAACAACAACAACGACAACAACGACAACAACGACAACAACAACAACAACAACAACAACGACAACAACAACAACAACAACAACAACAACGACAACAACGACAACAACAACAACAACAACAACAACAACAACAACGACAACAACAACAACAACAACAACAACAACAACAACAACAACAACAACAACAACAATATCGACGACGACGACGACGGTGGCCACGACCAATGGAGCAGCGGGGTAGGAAATCACATCTGGGCGGCTGAGATTATCATCACCGCGTTGGGAGGGATGCTACAAGTGGAAGTTGTGGGAGATGGGGTTGATACAGAGAAGCGGTTTACTGCTTTCCCCCTCTCTAACCTTCATATGGTGTTCCTCCTCGTGGTTTGGAGGAGCATAGGAATAAAATAGCTGGGGGTGATTGATGTTGTCCGGCCTGCAATACCAGTCATCATTGGGGGATTGATCGTCGTGTTGGGTGGTGGTGAGATGTTCAAGGATTATTAGCAGGAGGTCAATCCTTCTTGACAGTCTCACATGATAATGCATATTCGATACTGGACTGGGCGTCCAGATCATACATCTCTCATCATTAACAGAGCTTTGCTTTTAGGCTTGATTCATAAAAGATAATATACATCATATAGTGCTTAGGGTTTCATGATTACACTTCGATAGATAAAATATTGTGTAACCGGTTGAACGCGCGGAACGCGCGTTCACGTTCATACCCCGCGGGGCCGCGTTCAAACGCATTCAAACGCGCTGCGCGCCACGTGGCGCGAAAAAATTGAACGCGACCTCGGGGGGGGGGGGCGCGCGCGTCGCGGACTACGGGGTGGTGGGCCTCGTTCAACGAACCCTGAAAGTGCAAAAAAAACCCTTCCCGGAGGCCCACCCCCCCTACCACGTCACCCCCCGCCATATGTGAATGCTCCTTTTTTTTTCGGGGGGGGTGGGGGAATCCCCCTAACACTACTCAGATGGCCCATGCAGGCTCTCTGAAGGGTCCTCGCAGCCATGTAGTGCAGACCCCCCCCCCAAAATCAAGGCAGGCAGTGAATATGAAGTAGAGCACGAGCTGGCTGAATATATACTCAAGATTCCAATTCACGTATGTGTTTCAACACTTATGGGTTGCTCACGAAGCTAGGGCCTGTTGGTCTCTGCACGTGACTCTTAGGGCTTGGCTGCACTACTCACCAAATGTGCAAAACTAGAATGAATCTTCTGCAGAACATTGAATAATACGCCGCCATATGTTTTGTCTTTTGTGCATGTGGTGAGTAGAGGCCCTTAGGGCCACTGCACATATTCCTAAGGGGAAAAAAACGAGAAAAAAATAAAAACAAGAAAAAAAAAAATGATAAGAAAGAAAAACAAGAAAAAAGAAAAACGAGAATTCTCGTTTTTCTTTTCTTAGGAATACGTGCAGTGGCCCTAAGGGCCTCTACTCACCACATGCACAAAAGACAAAACATATGGCGGCGTAATATTCCATGTTATGCAGAAGATTCATTTTAGTTTTGCACATTTGGTAAGTAGTGCAGCCAAACCCTAAGAGTCACGTGCAGAGACCAACAGGCCCTAGATACGTGAGCAACCCATAACTGCTGAAACACAGACCTGAATTCGAATCTTGAGTATAAATTCGGGCAGCTCGTTCTCCACTTCATATGCACTGCCTGCCTTGATTTTGGTTGGGGGGTCTGCGCTATATGGCTGCGTGGACCCTTCAGATAGCCTACATGGGCCGTCTGAGCCGTGTTAGGGGGATTCCCCCCCCCCCCCCCCCAAAAAAAAGGAGCATTCACAGACACACACACACATACATTCACACACACACAG